CAATGTGATATTGTCGAAGATAACCAGGTGCATGACTGGGTCATTTAAGACGTGGCGGTGATGTTGAAATAATGGGAGAATGAACCGAAGCAGGACTCACCGGCGAAGAAGGCAACGGGTCGGCTAAATCCTGCTCCGGTGGAATGGACTGATGAATGATGGTGTCATCAAAGTTAGTATCTTGCGCATGTGGAAGCACAAAAGGTGAAACTACAGTGGAAGATGACAAAGGAAACAAATTTTCATGGAAAATAACATCACGGGAAATAAATATTTTACTCGTTTAAGGGTCGTAAACCCGATAACCTTTAGTGCCATATGGATAGCCAAAAAATAGACAATGTGTGGCTCTTGCATCAATTTTAGCAGGACGATGATGGTGTGAAGAAGCGAAACATAAACACCCAAACACTCGAAAAATGTGCATAGGCTGACTGCTTGTGATATAGTATTTCATAGGGTAATTTGTCATGAAGAAGAGAAGTGGGAGTCCTATTTATAAGATAGGTAGCAGTGAGGATTGCATCACCCTAAAATTTCTTGGGAAGATGAGATTGAAAAAGTAAAGCTCTAGCAACATCGAGCAAGTGGCGGTGTTTGTGCTCTACTACTCCAGTTTGTTGTAGAGTAGAGACATAACGTGTTTGATGTAGAATTCCCTTATGTTTGTGCTCTACTACTCCAGTTTGTTGTAGAGTAGAGACATAACGTGTTTGATGTAGAATTCCCTTATCCGAGAAAATTTGATCAAAAATTATGGATCTTTATCACTGCGAAGAACTTTAACTCATGTGGAAAATTGTGTTTCAACAAGGTTGATGAATGTGATGAAATATGATTGTGCATTCGTTTTGTGATTCATTAAATAAACCCATGTGCAACGTGAGAAATCATCCACAATAGTTAGGAAATATTGTGCCCGAGTGATAGTGGGAACATGGTAACCTCCCCAAATGTCAACATGAATTAACTCAAAAGGTGCATTTGTACTAATAGAACTTAAAAGGAAAAGGAGCAATTGTTTGTTTGGCTAATGGACAAATCAAACAATCATCAATACTGCAAAATTCAAGTTCTTAATGCAAGGAGAGATAGACCGTAAGCTTTTGTTGGAAAGATGGCCAAGACGTTAATGCCAAAGTTGAGGAGAAGAAGGAACAATTGATACTGAATTGCACCCGATTTTTGTCACATTATCAAGGTTGTTGAGTCCTTCTCATTTAGTTCCTGTCCCAATCATTGGCCCTGAAGTACACATTTTATCAGTGAAGATGACAAAGCAAAATGAGGTATTAGTAGCCTTGCTGGCAGAAATTAAATTCAGTTTAAATGATGGAACACAAAGCACGTTGTGGAGGACGAGATCATTTGAGTGACGAACTGCGCCAATATGTGTGACATCGGCAAGTGCATGATTGGGTAGGTGCACTTGTCGGTTAGAAACCGGAATGCTTATAGTCATTAAACTCGGTGAGCAGACCATGTGTTCTGTGGCGCTGGTATCAAAGATCCAGTTCCTTCCCTCATTGAAAGCAGAAGCACAAAAAACTTTACCTGAGAAATCATTCATAGTAGAGGTGGTACCGACATGATTGGTTGTGAGGTTGGATTGGCTCTTATCAAAGAGTGTAAGCAGGTTGTGATATTGCTCAGAAATGAGACTGTATGACGAAGGAGATGTTGCTGAAGGCATTGGCTTGATGTCAACATGATTAGCCTTAGAGTTGGAACCTTTGAGATCTTGATAATCTCCCCCTTCGTTGTTGTCCTTTACCTTTTTCAGTTTACAACATTAATCAATGGTGTGACCCCTCCAATTACAGTAGTCGCACTTGAAGTGTGCTCGACAGGTATCTGAAGTGTGTCCGGTTGCATCATAACAATCACATTTGAGATGAGGAATTTTAGGAGAAAAATTCCTACCATAGTTTCGCATGTTGTCCCACATGGCCAAAGCTGCTGCATCTGTGATTGAGGACCTTCCAGGAAAATGTGTTGAGACTGCTCTTTGCTTCTCATCTTGAATAATGAGTGAGAAAGCCTTGTTGACAGCAGGAAGGGGATCCATAAGTAAAATTTGCCCACGAACTGCAGCATAGGGTTCATTGAGACCCATGAGAAACTTCATGGTTTTCTAACTTTGCTGAAACTGAATCAATTCCTTCGTATCACCACATGCACAGGTTGGGAGAGAGCACAAGACATCATGTTCATCCCAAAAACTTTTTAGTTTGGTATAATACGCACCAATGTTCATATTTCCTTGAACACTTCCATGTATCTCTTGTTCGATATGGAAAAGATGTACGTTGTTTGTGTGAGAAAAACGTTCCTTCAATTCATTCCAAATATCAGATGCAACATTGTTGTAGATGATACTTGCTCCGATATCTTTCAAGACAGAGTTAAACAGCCAGGATTTCACGAGGTTGTTGCAACGAGTCCATTGTTGGAATTCAATTGTGGATGCTGTCGCAGGCTCTTTAATGGTTCCATTAGGTACCGTTTGGTACGTGGGACGGGACGGAACGGAGTGGGACGAGGCGTTCCGTCCCACGTTTGGTGCGCCCAAAAACAGTGAAACGCGCTGTCCCACGGGGACGAAATTTGGCTGATTTTTCGTTCTGCCTCCCCCTGGAATGACTCATTCCATACCCGTGGAACACAAAATTATAAAATTTTAAGACAAAAATACCCCTTATTTTTTTCAATATTTACACCATCCAAATCCCAAAACAAAACCCTATCATCTTCTTTCCCTCTTCTCTGCCGCTTGCATCTCCCAGGTATCTTGCAACCTTCCTCCTCATCCTCTCCCGTAGCCTCTCTTTTCTTTTGCCCACAGAGTGGAACTCAAAGCTCTGCATCTCCAGGTTCGATCTCTGCATCCAATTCCAATCTTTTTATTTTTTGCACAATATTATATGATCCTCTGCAATCGATAATCTGGTTCTAATCTGCCATCTTCTCCTTGAAACCTAGGTTTTGCTCTCAAAGTTTTGATCTTTACATTTTTCTACTGTAACTTTTTCTGGGTTTTGGTTTTTAAGGGGCTTGAAGGTTGATTTGTTTGCTTTTGAGGTAGTTCCTATTGATTTCATTGGATGATACGATATAATGAATGATCTAATTTGGTTTGGATTCATAATCTAGGGTTTTGAATTGGGATTAATTGTTCAAGTAATTTTTAATTCCGCTGATTGTCTGTTTTCTGAGTATTTCTGTGTAATTAGCTTCTATTATGTTGCTAGGAAACTGCTCAAATTAATAAATCATTTTAATTTGATTTTTGTGTTGTGATTTGATCAAGTTCCAGTTTAGTAATGGGCTTTTGCTTTGTTAGACTAATGAAATAGGCTTCATGTTTTTTGAAATTTTGATTCATTAGACTAATTGGGTTTGCTTTGTGTGTTTATATAATGTTTGATTAACTCTGGGATTTTGTTTCCATTTAGTTTTTCCTGTGGAAGAGTGAGGGCATTTACTATTGATTTGGAATTGAAGAAGTAAACTTTAAACATTTTCATGGTGTTGAATTTCAAACCTCTAGCATATGCCCGAAGAATTTCATTATCTTCGACCAGACTGATCATCGAAGTAAGATTATGTTCAATCCTGAAATTGCCCACAAAATTACTGGTCTTGCCTTTAACCTCTTCTGCAGCTTACATCCAAGACAATCTGGGATTGATAGCTTGTTGAAAGTTTTCTGGTTTTTAATTAATTGGGGTTTTCTAGTGCTTATTGTAAGGCATATGATGCATGGGTAAGTTAGTTATTTAATCTTTTAGTTCCGTTCCGTCCAGCGTGTACGAAACACAGAACGGAACAACCGTCCCGTTCTGTCCTGTGCGTACCAAACATAACACGGAACCTTTGTTCCGTCCCGTCCCGTTCCATCTGCGTACCAAACGGTACCTTAATGAGCCCATCCTTGTTCTTGCAATTGAGGGTCATGGTCATGGTGCGGCTCCAAGTGGAGTAAGTTTCGTCATTTAGTGGTTGTGTGACGAGAATCGCTCTAGGCTGATCGGAGTGATGAAGATAAAGAGGATCGCTGGGATCTTCGTATTTGGTGGTCTCAGACTCGGTTGAACCTTTTTGTTTGTTGGAATCTTCGGTCGCCATGTCGACGAGAAGAGTAATGCTATGACTTCTTTGTATGTTTGAACGCCAAAGATTTTAGGTTATCAGGTTTCCAAAAAGACTGAGTTCTGGTACCATGTAAAACCTTCTATTCTGTGTGAATGGTTTTCATTAAGAAAAGAGTAATTGGTACAAAGAGAGACTTATACATATACATGGATCAATCAAGATCCTGGAATCAAGGCCTATACAAGCTATTACGTGAGTTAGACTCGTATGTGGATGAAAAGCAATCTGAGATGACTGTACAGTAATCAAGGAGATGGATTCCTTAATTCAAGGGACTGATGACAAACTTTGCTCTGCACAACACAATTGAATCACGGAGAGACTCTGAAGCTTGGAGAGGGACTCATCACGTTTGGTAAATTCGTTACTAAGGTCAAGGCCGACAACACGCCCCCTTAGTACTGCAAGTAACACCATCCCAAGAACAGCAGTCGCTACTTGAATTCCAGGATATGAACTTGATGGACGTAGAAGAATTGAACAAAATTCTCTTCTTGAAATGGAGGAGTGCTGATTGCTCATCTTCAATACACCGGCTGTGAAGCGGGACAACGATCAAGAAAAAGAGGATCAAGTAGTGGAATGAAGTTTTCGTTTTTGGTAGTTATAAATGAAAATGTACTAAATTAGGAAAAACTCATTTTTGCATTGAGACGGCTCTGCCATTTAGGTTGGGGCAAGTCGAAAACTTGTCTCACGAGATGACGAAGTCACTTTGAAGAATCGAAAACTTGTCTCACGAGATGATGAAGTCACTTTGAAGAAAAAAACAAAAAAGGGGGTGATCACACAATTTAATTAGATCCCTAATGCTTTCTGAGAGATTGTTGACTTTTGTTGTTATAACAAGTTCAAAAACACTGTAATTTTGACAACTAAAAACGAAATGGTAATCAGATAAGTACATGACAATGCATTTTGTTACTACTAACCCCTACGAGAACACAAATTTGTGAGAATCATGGAACGCCATACCAAGGATCTCAATGCAATAACGTTTAAGCCACCAAAAAGCATTTGTTTATATACAGCTAAATTTCGATGAGATGCGATGGATTGTCACCTACGGACCAATGCTGACATTGCTTGGTGCGTGAATAAGACGACCATTTTGGAGCAGGGTGCTTGGAAAGGTGGCTCGACAGTTAGTAATGTGAGATTTTAATCGGGGTATGTTGGGGTGAGCGCTTCTACATCGGTGGCATCGCAACTCCATAGACAATAGGCTATCGTCATCTTTTAGCTTTGCTTTTCCATCACTACTAACTTCCTCTACCACATCCACGGAGTCTCGAAAGAAAGCAGTATTGAAGGAGTTCCAATGTTTCTTATTCTTCAAGTGTGTTGAATCAAAATCCTGGCTGATAACATGCAGATGCAGCTGTCGCATTGAGGGATCCTGCAAGAGATGATGTCCGGAAACAATTAATTTATTATTTACATCTAGTCTGATGTATTAATACTAACCTCACGAGTCCTTTAGCAAAAAGGATTTCAAAGGGCAATGTTGGAGCATACGAATATAACAGCAAGCTCTCAGAAAATTAGCATGCGTACCAAGTGATATCCAAGACGGAAGACCAAAGACGAATCATCATGCAAGAATTTCTCAACCCACTTCAGACCAACTTCATGCATTGTCCTTAACAATGGAAGGTGTTCTTTATGAACATCTGACAGTCGATCAAGACCTTCACATTGTGCCACCACCAAAACATGCCTTTTTGCCTGCGAAATTCCGAAGGTTTTTTTTTTTTTTTCATCAGACAGAAAGTAGAAGAGGATGATAAACAATATATGGAAAATAGGTATCATTTACCTTTGGATAAAGATCATTCAGCACAACGACATCATCTGATATCTCTAGTACTGCATCCTTGTGCTTCTCTGGGTGCATAGCAGTGTTGTAGAGAGCCTGAGCCCATGACCCCCAGGATTTAGTCCTGCTTCCACTGGACTTGTTGCTCAGGTCTGGTTTACCAGTGTTAGAATCTTCAGTATCATCCTGATATGCTTTACTTCTTTTGCTCCTCTCATATTTATGAGGATCCTCTCTCTTAGTCTTTTGATTGCTGTTTGTAAAATGATTTCTAGAGGCACTGTCAGAATATTCTTGTGACTCTGGCAGCTTTGCCTGCAAGTTCTCAATGCTTCCCTTGGGTGACTTTGCTTGGGTCCTCACAATTGTTGCGAAACCTTCGAAAAGTGAAGTGTAAGCCTCCCGGAGAACTTTGCAGCCTTTACTATAGTCATTGTTCAGACAATTTGGTCTGTGTGGGTTCATGTTGGGTCCAACAACATGTATCACATGGGTTACCCCTTCCCTACTAAACAAGGGAGAAGTTGCAGGGACAGGCACAACCACGGCACTCCCAGGATACAGAGATTGGGCTTGTTCTTTGGTTGCAACCTCCAAAGATGGACCTCCAGCATTGAAGATTGCAGCATTGACACCTCCACCTCCAGGTTTAAGACGCCTGCACCAGAATAAATATTTATTTTCAATCTACTTTATATTTTTACGTACCAACTTAAAGTAAAGATTATAACGGTGAAGAAAAAATATCAAACTTTACATTTCCACTGCAGGGTAACAGATGCAAAACTCGAATTCAGCATAATACTACAACACCATGTTTTGGTTTAACAGAGGGGACAAATGCAAAATCCTACAGATCTGTTATTTCATATTGTGAACTAGCACCGCAACAAAATATTTACATGTATATTGCATAGTATTTCTAAATGCTTACCAATTAGCAGCATTAGCTATTACATTGCAGTGTAAACCTCCTCCTGAATGAAGCTTAGTGATATCTCCCACAAATGTGAAGAACTTGTTGGAGTCAATGTTTTTCTCTGAAGCTTTAGCCCTTACCAAAGACAAAATCTTTGATTTATGACTCAAGTCCACTAAAACAAGTCTAGCATTTCCAAGCTTATTCACAAATTCTATAACTTTTTCGACAATAATATCAGACGCCTTCTCAATGTCAAATTGAAAATCTGCTGTCGATATGGAGGGAAATGCGAGAGTGGGGGAATCGTTTAGAGAAACATCACCGCCAACAGAGCCTACAAATAGCTCTGCACCTTCCTTTGACTCCTTACGAGAATTTTCAGACAATGAACCTGTTCCCTTTGAAGAGGTTTCCTTTTCTTCAGTAATTTGAGAAGCATTCGAATCTGGTACACTCTTCGAAGTGGATTCAGTATTAGCAGGACCATCTGTTTTCTTTAAAAACCTCATTATACCTAGTTGTACTTTCGCACCGGTGTTCTTCTGGCCAAAATAACCACTTGGAAGTGTATCCAACGGACCAAGTCCACTATATGCATCAACGGCAGATTGAACATCACTCTCACTCTGGCAACAAGTGATTCTAGCAAACCCTTCACTCAGTTTAGGCAGTTCTTTCTTCTGCAGCATTCTATTCACAACCGCAGCAGCTCTCCCACCTTGCAAGTTTCCCTCGTGGCCTGTTCTCTTCACAGACCGCGATATACAAAGCTTGGCAGGAAGATCAAGCACCACAGCATGAACATCAACCTGGGTACTACCACCAAGCTTCACAAACTCATCCCTTTGTTCTTTCTCCAGATTACACCTATCTATAAAAACACTCTTCCCATCCTTCAATGCATTCATTGCACTCTCAATACACTGCGCTTTCGTTCCCGCTTTACCATTTTTTATAGTATCCTACAAAAACATAAAAAATGAGAACCCAACAGCATAAAAACAATAACCCAACTGAACAGCAATCCGGAGTATCCAGAGTATCATATGAATTACTGAAAATACTAATCTTGAGCTCACTGAGCCATTTCATCGAACATATGGTGTGCACATAGATATACCTGGCAAACGCGAACCCAGGGGCGAGCGGAGGAGGAGCGCATGACATGCTCACAGAAGGTGGACTTTCCGCTTCCGGGCGCACCCACCAATATTACTACGACGGGCTTTCCTTGCTTTTCTTCCCCTGTCAAAAGTGCATACAGGTTTTGTAATCGAAGGTGACGACGACCCAGAATTATTAAACGCGGCGTTTTGGAGAAAATGGGGTACCTTTGGCTGTTTCGTCGATATCCATGTCCATGTTTTGGGAGACTCTGTGTGGCACGTTTGAATTAAGGGCTGAAAACCAACGGTTTCTTCTTCCACTGGGCTGGAAGCTTCTGTCGCCGGTGCCTCGTCGACCTGAAAATTGACCCGCCCCGATTCGATTTGGATTTATTTCTTTGGATTACGACTCTCATGAGCACCATCCATATTTGGATTGAGGGCCTTTCCAGGATATTATTAGCCCGGGTTCAAGGCCATCCAAAATTAAGATGGGCGTGGACCCGTTTGACTCAGTTTGGCATTGAAAATATAACGGAATCAATTAATATTTAACGGTTTGGTTTGGTTCGATTTTGAACAATATGAACATTAAATTGAACTAAACTAATTCATAGTTAATTGGTTTGATTCGGTTTGGTTTGGTCGGTTTAAGCTTATTCAATATAAAAATAAAAAACTTTTAACATTTCAAGAGTTTTAATCTTCTAAACATCTAAACATTTCACACATTTTAATTCAATTAAAAGACTACATTTTTTGGAACACAAAAAGTTCTTCACGTCGAATAGAAATAAGTTTCAATTAAATAAAATCTCATTTAGCAAACACTTTATTAATTATAACCTACATAAGTATATAATACATGTAAATCTCCTAAATGTTGATAGTCATTGTAACTCATAATATGTGTATTGTAAGATCTCTTAATAACCTATAATAAGTTGACATGTATAATTAATAATTACAAAAATACATGGTCGATTTGGTTTGATTTTAGTCGATTTCAATAATATCAAAACTAAACCAAAAGTAAATCATTTCGATTCAGCTTTTAAATCGTTTGACTTTTTCTTGTTCAAAACAAAACCAAACCAACCAATATGATTTGGGTTGGTCAATTTGTTCGTTCGGCTGGTTGATGCCCACCCCTATCCAAAATAAATTTTTAAAAGAAGAAAATAATTTACACGAAAATATACAACGTTATGAACACATATTAAATACAAATAATCTAGAAAGCCATGTAGATGGTGTCTTAGAAAAATCGGATAATGTAACGAGTCGACCAACTATGTGAGGTTGGATGAGGTGTATTAGACAACTCAGATAAAGCAATAGAATTTGTTGATGCATAAAACCGGAGGTCTTGGAACAACGTAAATCCGACCGTGAATCTGTAAGAAATGTAAATAACACAAGATGTATCGTGGTTCACCCCAAGGTTTGGGCTACGCCCACACTGATTATTGTATTTCTCTGAGAAGATTGTGAGGGAGAGAGCCCCTGTAGTGTGAGAATGAGGCTCTCTGAATGTGAGGGAGTTTGTGAGGTGAGAGTGAGGTATCTGGGGGTGAGGAGGCTTCTTCCTCAATTGTGAGGGTGAGGGGTCCTTTTATAGAATAAGGGATCCTCACTTATTACATATTTGCTCCTTCCTTTATTACATAATTACATTTGAGTTTCCCGAGTATTTATACGAGATCTAAATACGGAGGCCCTAAGTATGGTATAAACAGTAGTCCCTCAAGTATTCAGTCAAGAGAGTCTTTTGGCTGGAGACTTGAAATTCAGTCCATGTGTGGGCCGAAGTAACCAGATGTCGTCTTGAACTGATGCTCGGTATGCGGCGGTGCCCAATCTGAAATGATGCTCAATTTAGGAATAGCACATGTTGCGAGGCTGCTCGGTTTGTGGTTTATGTTGCCTTGGTTGGCTCGGCTTGTGGCGTTGAAGGTGAGGGGTCCCTTTTATAGAATAAGGGCTCGCTCCTCAATACATAAATGATGGGCTAGAGTTGATGCTCGCGGCGAGGCGGTTACTCAATAGGTGGCGATGCTCTCTAATGGTGGTGAGAGAGTCCCTTTTATAGAATAAGGGCTCGCTCCTCAATACAAAAGTGATGGGTTAGGAGTGATGTTCGCGGCGAGGCGGTTGCTCAGCTGGCGGCGTTGCTCTCTAATGAAGGTGAAGGAGTCCTTTTTATAAAATAAGGGCTCGCTCCTCAGTACATGAATAATGGGTGCTCTCTAATGAAAGTGTGGGAGTCCCTTTTATAGAATAAGGGCTTGCTCCTCAGTACATAAATAATGGGCTAAGTCCCCCAAATATTTTTTATGAGGCCCAGTTGAGGCCCGATATATGGTACATAATGTAGTCCCCCAAGTCTTCGGTCAATAGAGTTTGTTGGCTGGAGACTTCAAATTGAATCCATGTATGGGACGAAGTGGCGGTTGTTCGGAGGCGGTATTTATATACCCTGCACTTAAGCTTTGTAGGTGAAGTTTTGCAAGTGAAGCTATGAAGTTGAAGCTCTGTAAATGAAGCTTTTGAAGCTAGAGCTTTTGTAAATGAAGCTTTTGAAGCTAGAACTCTGTAAATGAAGCTTTTGAAGCTAGAGCTTTTGTAAATGAAGCTTTTGAAGTTGATTGACATGAGTGATGCTCATGAATGTTTATGTTGATTGATATGAGTGATGCTCATGGATGTTGACATGAGTGATGCTCATGGATGTTGACATAAGTGATGCTCATGAATGTTGACATGAGTGATGCTCATGAATGTTTATGTATGATTGATATGAGTAATGCTCATGAGTGTTTATGTATGATTGACATGAGTATGCTCATGTATAATTTGAAGTACTGGGCGTACTTTTGATAACCTGGTTGGCGATAATAGCGATGGGGTGCCGAATAATTTTTTGTAGTACTGGGCGTACTTTTGGTCACCTGGTTGGTGATAATAGCGGCAGGGTGCCGAATAATTTTTTGTAGTATTGAACGTACTTTTGGTCACCTAGTTGGTGCTATTTTGGGCTTATGGGCCTTCGCCTTCCACACAACATTCTAGCCCATTTATTTTGGGCTTTGCCCTTTTTTATTTATTTATTATTATTACCCTCTGATGGGGTTTATACAGATGTCTCTAAAAGATAAGAAAAATAAATCGCATCATACAAAAACAAGAAAAGTAAATCACATCATTCTGGTGGAGTGTTTATTCCTTGCTTTTGCTTTCTTTTTTGCTTTCTCTTTTGCTTTCGCTTTCTTGGAGGACCGCTCTTTTTAGGAATAATGGTGCTCGATGTCTTGTCAATCCAACGTCCCAAGGCACTGACACAAGGAGATGATGGGACCTTGTAGTGGGATGGCAACAGCTTGGCATCATTAGATGTCTGAATTCCTTTATCATTGTGGTCGCGGGACCACTTTCCAGCTGTGTGTTTAAAGAAACCTGCTGTACCTTTACTGCTTTTCTAGTCAAATGTCATCTTGTGCTGAGCAAGCATAAGTTGCTGGTGTTGACCCGCAACTTCCCGGACCGGAAAATCGTAAACTTGGAGACCTCCGAGTGCCAAAACCTAATCTCGTTCTCTTCCAACAAGTTTTCCAAAACCTGCTTATCCCTGTCAAGGTTGGAGCTCTCGCACTCGAGCTCATAACACGTCCCAAAATCGTAAATACTCTCGTCCACCTCTATCTTCAGCCCCTTTCACTTATACACACCCCTCACATTCCTAAACCCACCCAAGCACACAAACCCTTGCCCTCCTCCAACACTGTATTCCTCCCTCCCGCGCTTTAAGATGTCGGAGGAGTTAACGGCCATGAGCCTCCAAGGCTCGGCCACGCAGACGCGGCCGAGGACAAGGTCGAAAGGCTCTTCCAGCTCTAGGACTCGGCTGACGCCGTCAGAGATGACGGGTTTGGCCTTAAGGGAGAGGACGCAACGTCTGTCGACATCGTAGAAACGGAGGCGGATGATGGCGAGGTTAGAGGAGAGCTCAGAGTTGGAGCTGTCGAAGAAGATGTTATCTTGGATTAGGGTTTGGGTGTGGAAGGGGGAGAGGAGATCGGTGAGCTTTTGGTGTGCGGCGGCTTCTGGGAGGCGGAGCTTCACTTCCACTTCCATTGCTTTGGGGGTTTGCTGAAAGAAGGACCAAAACTCGAAACGCTTTTTCCTCGAAAAAATTGAGATTTGTGATGCTCTTGTTGGAGAAACTGAAAGCTGTAGAGCTCAAATCGTTTCAAAAAATATGTTTTTCTGTTTGTTGTAGTTTGTGACGTAAGCCAGGTGGTGCTTCTGGTGGTGGATCTGCATGATCTCGCCGCTGATTGCAGGCGCCATAGTCGTAGGGAGGTCGGGGAGCGAGAAAATCTGCAGGCCGCGAGAATGAGCGAGGATTCTGGGCTCGCTCTGAAGACCTAATCGAAGGGCTTTGCTGGCTACGAGAGTTCGGAGAGCCATGAAAATGCCGCTTGCGAAGAACTCAGAGTGAGTAGAGGGAAACAGTGTGAGAAGGTGAGAGAAGACTTGTACTGTGCTGGTCTGCTGGGTTTACCTGGAGGAACGTACAAAGTCAGAGGCATTGCAGAGAAGGCAACTGTTAACAACTGCAACACCATCCTCTATCTATCAATTCAAACCAAAACCCACAAAAATATAATCTCAAAGATTGGATTTTGATTGAAACCCAATTGAGTTTTTGAAGATTTTGATGCAAAAAAAGGAGGGTTATGGAGACGATGTTTCTGGAAATTAAAAGAAGAAGGTGGAGAGTGGAGATTGGGGGAGAGAGAGATTGATGTTTTGCTTGAAGAAGTGAAAGAGGTCAGAAGCAAGAGAGAGGCTGAGAGAGTTTTGGGGTCCACGAAGGTTTTATGGAAAAGCCCAAGGAGGGAGGTTATGGTTCCTGGGTTTTGCAGATTCATGGCGGAGGTGAAAATTGAGAGAGAACCGACATAGCTTTTCGTGTTGATTCCCACAGACGGCGCCAAATGTTGATGCACAAAACCGGAGGTCTTGGAACAAGGTAAATCTGACCGTGAATCTGCAAGAAATGTAAATAACACAAGATGTATCATGGTTCACCCCAAGGTTTGGGCTACGTCCACACTGATTATTGTATTTCTCTGAGAAGATTGTGAGGGAGAGAGCCCCTGTAGTGTGAGAATGAGGCTCTCTGAATGTGACGGAGTTTGTGAGGTGAAAGTGAGGTCTCTGGGGGTGAGGAGGCTTCTTCCACAATTTGTGAGGGTGAGGGGTCCTTTTATAGAATAAGGGCTCCTCACTTATTACATATTTGCCCCTTCTTTTATTACATATTTGCCCCTTCTTTTATTACATAATTACATTTGAGTCCCCTGAATATTTATACGAGATCTAAATACGGAGGCCCTAAGTATGGTATAAACAGAATTCTTTAAATGTTAATGAATTCCCTCATAATCGCAAGACGAATGTGAGATTTATGAAGCTTAAAATATATTATGAATTGTGTCAATTCCCTTATATTGGAAAAATTTCTCAGTACATTTTAATTATTCACAAATATCACATTTCTCCTTGAGATTTTGAAGGATTTCACTAAAAAATTTACACAAAAATATTTAAAAATCAAACTCAACCGAATTATTAAAAGCAATCTCACAATTTAACAATGTCATGAATAAATCCAATTATATCAATTAGTATCTCTCATGTGACAAATTTCCACTTGCATTGTATTAACTTAGAGGTTATTGTAAATTTGTAATTAAAAGCAATCTCACAATTCCACAATGTCATGAATAAATCCAATTATATCAATGTATCTCTCATGTGACAAATGTCCGAGAGTTCTCGCCATTACTCTCAGACCCCTCACCTTCACTCCCTTCCTCTTCCTCATCTTCTCAGCCACAGAGGGTTGAACCCACCGCCTCCAGAATCTACTCCAAACCCCCAAATTTTATCCCAAACCCAAAGAAGCCCTGAAATCCCAATTCGGTTTCACAGAATCGGGGTGGCCCGCTGGTCAAACAGCAGTTTGTGAAGAATTCTGGGGTGGCCCGTTATTATATGTACCAACACAACCGCTGCCATTGAGAAGAAGATGCCTCGTGCAGAGCGGTTTGGGATATCTATGCAGCTCATAGAAGAAGAAAATCGCAACTCTCGGGCTGAGAGGTAACTGGGATTTATTCTTCTGGGTCAGTTTTAAGGGTTAGGGTTCTTTTTTTTTTTGGCTTTCTGCTAAGAAGAGTAAAATGGACAAGGAATGCATATCCACTACCGATCTATGATACATGAATGTGATCAAAATCCCCCAATCAGGGCACTTATGAACAATGTTAATATTAGTTCATGATTATTATAGGGAATGGTTATTAGCATTCCAAAAATCTCATTTGGTACTCCAAACTTTCTATAATTAGAAAGAAAAATACACTTGCGAGAAGTGTAGAATGAAATTTTTGGAGTGTTAATAACAAGTCCCTAATTATAATAGTTTATAATTTTATTAATTGGATTGCAAATTATTTAGTGAATGGAAGGATACTCAGAGATTTGAGCTATTGGGTTTTTGTTTTGTTTAAAAGACTCGGATTGAACTTCTGAAATTAGTTGGGTGAAGAATTTGACAAAAATGTTTTTTTTTTCTCTCTTAGTTTTCATACTTTGGATTTGATTGAGGATCATCTTAAGGGAGGGAGGGATGAATTACTATTTTATAATTGATGATTTATAAATAATAAATTGAGTTCCCTAATTTTTCTGTTATAGGTGAGGAAAGCACCGAGCCTGCACCAGCGTGCACCAGCTCAACTGAAGGTTGAAGGTTGCGTTCTCATGGCAAAAAGCAAAACTGAAGGACTCTAAGCTTCCAGAATGTCAATTTGTAAAACTTTCGGTTGTTCTGGCAAGTTTTGTTGTAGTGTGTGTGTCCATCATCATGTCATTGGAATCATATGTTTGAATTCGGATTTGGAATGATTTTTCTGATGTTTGTATTTTTTGTATATTATAATTCAGTGCAGGTTTGCGTTGGATATAGGATAGTCATGGATCAGTTCAAAGCTTGGCTAATGATAGTTTCAGATCTTGATCTTACAATGGTAGGTTCTGTAACTGGTTTTGTCATCGTAGGTTCTGTAATCTGAATAATATAAATTAGGGATTTTTGGTTAGTGTCCATTTAGTGAAGAAAGGATGATTCTTTTTGTTATCATGCATATTTAAGCTCTGCTTAATTGAAGTGAAATTTCCAGTTTTTAGGCCCTATTTCAAGTCTTGAACTTTGAATTTGTCTATATGTAGCTCAGCTGAAGCTATCTACGTCGTAGTTTAAAGTATTTGTATAGGTAATTATGTGTTTAAGTTGCGCAAATTGAGTTGCCTCAATGTCTTTTGTGTGCAGTTTGGTGTATAAAAGTGGGTTTTGATGTTTCGGCAGGCATTGGGAAAAAGAAAAAACAAAGAAATTGGTTTTCGCTCAATGCATAGTTAATCTTAAAATACAGTTTATTAAATTGGGTTCATGATATATGGGTGGTAGCACATTAGCGACGTCGACTCCTGCAAGGAAGGGGCTGATGAGAGACTTCAAGAGGCTGCAACAGGACCTGCCTGCAGGGATTAGCGGGGTGCCCCAGGATAACAATATAATGCTGTGGAATGCTGTTATATTGGGGTAAGTTGGAAAAATGCAGTGCATAAAAAGAAATCTATTGTTGTTTTCTCTTCTATTATGCTACATTAATATTTCATTTTTTTCGTTAGGAGATGCAGTAAGTTGGAAAAATGCTTATATTTCTTATTTTTGGAACTCTTTATCTCATTGTTTCTTGAGTAGTTTTCTGGAAGGAAGAAAAGATGGGCATTTGTAAGTCCTATCAATTTCAATTTTTATTTTTCTTGCTTTTATTTTAGTTTCTTATTACTAATTTTAATTTTAGGTGTATTTTTTTTATGATGGTTGTCAAACGATGTTGTTTTCACAGGTTTGATCATGTATATAAGCATCTGATAGTAAATACATACAGAGTGCTTCATAATTGAAAGGAAATAGAATGATATTTTCAGGTAATTGTCAAGATTTTTGTTGATCCCCTTTTGTCGTGATGCCAATTTACGGTTCTTATCATGTAACTTGGTTGACTAAAATGTTAGTGTAATAACAGTAGTGAACTTCCTATAACTCAGAGACTTTTCCTTCATTGGGTATGGAAAAAGATTGTTGATGCTGCTGGTTCTTTTCTATAATTGATTTAGGAGTTGCCTATTGCATCCTTAAGCATAACGTCTGACTGCTAATGACATATTCTATTGCTTTCTACAGCTGCCAGTGCCTAAACCTCTAACAAAATGGAAACTTTTGCCAAAACAAAAGGTAAATCATTACTGCATGAGCCAAACAGTACTTTTCCTCTGTTTTTTTTTTACTTTCTTCTTCCCCCCTTCAAGGCTTTGTTTTGGTTCTCATATGTGGCCATTTGGTCATTGAGAAATGTAGTTGGATTTAAGATTTTGAGAAATTGGAACATCTTTAGGAAGATGACAGAATTTGGGATTGGACCTGTCAAGTTGTTATAAGAAAAGTCATAGGTATCAACGGACATGATTGCTATCCGTTTGAATTTGGTTACAATAATTTCCCTTGAGCATAATGGTTGCACTGAATTCGTTTTGTGATGATTCAGTTTTGGGTTTGAAAAAATGCTCACTGTTTGAAATTTGAAATTCTATTGATTTTCCATTCAGGTTGAACAAAAATATCTCCAGGATCCCCATTTTTTAATGGCGCTGTTAAGGTAAATTTTCTTTATCCTTCTTGCAGATTAATTTTCAATGGATTACATCTTCTGAGTAGTAGACAAGCCGGACATTGTATCTTTGAGAATGTTTATGGTGTATAGTTTCTGCATAAGTTTATTTTGGGAGTGGTATATAACCGTATATGGAGCTTCATGGTGCATGCACTGGAAATTTTATGATTTAGGATTTTTTCGATTTCCTTCCTATAGTTGTTTTATATGTATGGTTGATGAATTGAATTTGGAAGGAAAGCAACTGAATGGTTGTCTTTTTCTTTTTATTTATGGCAAGAATGCTACTAGAAGAATGGCAGATTGTATCATATGACTGTCATTGAAGATTTATCTTGAATCTGGACAGGTTTTTGTCAATTGTTATTTACGAAGGTTTTGACTGTTTGTGCTGGCACCAAAATAAAGTTTGTAGAAGGTTGCTGACCGATGATAAAAGGTAGCTTGCAATTTTTATTTTAATGAATCTTATTAAATGCATTTGAGTACCACAGAAATTTATTCAATTATTTTAGCAATTTGGAAAATCACTCTCTTCACTAAAACTGTTATTCATTTACATTAACATCTTTTATTTTTCCAAATTGTAACAGAGAAGCATGTAGATCATGAAAAATAAGAGACGGAAGTTCTGAAGTGACGACCAAGAAAGTTTAGAAGTGTAATATAGTTGTAAACAGGAATGTAAACCAGGGATGAAAAATGTTAATATAATTCTGATTCTAGATGACTCATTTGCGAATTTTATCTGAATTTGAATAATTTTTTTATCTGGGTGTACAGTTACATCTGTGATTTGTTGTTTATGTGGTAAAAAAAAAAAAGATGGCTTTATACTTTTTTATGAGACTTAATTTTGAGTTTTGAATTTGAGTTCTCATGCAAGAAGAAAGGCCACTTGAGTTTTGATTTCCCCTATATTTTCATTGTTTCATTTATACATCTGTTGGAGGATTGGAGGGGATTGAGAGGCAGATGAGTGAGATTTCTGATGGTTACACAGAAATAAATGGTCTCTCACATATTGAGCCAGATTACTCTTGGTTTGGCAGGTATGAATGATTCCAGCCTTTTTTTAGAGGAACTATGCTTTCCATATCAATCAGAATATTCTAAACGCTGGCGGTGCTTTTGTTTTCCATAATGTAAGCCCAAGATTATGCGATGGTGCTCAATTTGGATTTGTTGCATAGCTAGAAAGATGATCTTGCAGTAATTGTTGAAGACAATTATATGCCAAGGTATTGATTCTTTCGAATCCCAGCTTAAAAAACAGTCAAATTTATATATATTTTGCATCATTATATTTAGTTTACTTGGGTTAGGTTAAGATTCAAGAGAACAGCCTACTACACGGGGGGATAAATCTTTCTTATAGCATGCAAGCATGCATATCCATATATAGCAAGCAAAGTTTCACTTTGTTGGTTCTTAGGCACTAGATCGTCTTTCCTTTAGCTTGTAATTAGCTGCTCATGAATTCTTGACATCTTATTTTCTTCTTCTTATTGGGGTGTTTTACAGCCCCGTAGAATTTTTCAAGGAGCTTCCTCAATTTGTTGTCAGGCTGGTTCAATTTTTAGTAATATTTATGGTATAGATTGGGAAAACAAACTTGAGGTATTAATTTTTCAGAGATAGTTTACACTTGAAATTAGCCGTGTTTTTATGTCTTCTTTATACTTGAAATTAGCCGTGTTTTTATGTCTTCCAACATTCTCTTCTTGGAGTTAATCAGTCCTGTGCTCATGATTTGAGTTCTTAATTTTTCACGCAAAAGAGTTGCAGGCAAATGTTTTGTATTTGAGCCTGTTACGAGAGAGTTTTTTCTTTTGCGAATTGTGAATACATTTTTGCAATTGCATTCCCCTCCCTCCATCCTCCATGGTATTCTTTTTTTTTTTTTTTTTCAGTCAATCAGAGCAGACCGCACATATTTCATCTAATTACAATACTCCTAATAACCTAATCATCTACCTTCAAAACATTGGATGAGAAGTCGTACTCAGTGCACAAGGCTCCCGCTTTACGCAGGGTCTGGGAGAGGTGAATGTCGGCTAGCCTTACCCCCATTTATGGAGAGGCTGCTAATTTTAATTTTGGCTTTTAAATTTGGGTTTTGGTTTTTAATATTTATATTTTTGTCCAAATTTGATGGTATGAAAGGGTTCGATGATTTCTGATTGTATAAAAAAGTTGTGTGGTTCAAAAGATGATAGCATTTTGTGAATTAGGAAGCAGTTGCTAAGTGAGGATTCTCCGTTTCCCTTTGGATAGAAAATAATTAAGTGAAAATGCATTGATTTGGTTTTAATTTTCCTGATTTCTTCAACATGTGTATTAAACTAAAGTGAAATGCTTATTTCGGCGTATGTATATTAAACTCAACTAAATGGAAATGTTCATTACATTGCATGTGGTGTGTACCTTGTGTTTTACAGACCTATGCTTTCTGTGCTAATTTTTTATTGTTGTTGGTGTAAATATTTATATTAAGTACTAGCAAACATAGTGTTTTTTTGCTCTTGCAAGGGAATTGTCTTTTTTCCCCGGTACTTTTACAAGGATTTAGAATGGGAGTAAGTGTGTTGCAAATTGCTCTGTTCAATAGAAATATGGACATGCATGATGGAACCGATCACATATTTGGACCCTATTCTTGGAAGATGATTGCATTATTAAATAAACTGCATATAATTGGTTTAGAATGTAGACAGTTTTGATTACAGTGCTGGGATTCAACTTTCCTTTGGATAAGTTCATACCACTTCAGGCAAGTACTTAATTTAATTAAACTAATTAGGGGAGTATGAAGTCGAGTTCGTTTTTCTGTTTCTTTAGTTCTTGCCATGATAATCTATTATTTTACTTTTTCACTCTATTTTACAGATTTGTTCGAAATCTTTCAGGAAGAAAGAATGAGGCGGTTAAAGCGCAAAATGAAAGTTTACTTTTATGCTGCTAGGCTGGATTACCAGGTGAAATTTTCATTTCAAGATGTATACATATGTTCACGACTTTTTTAATACTTAGGACAGAAATTTGAGTTTTAGCATCACAACTATATGTCCATAGACACATGATGCAAATTGGGCTCACACGAATGTCAAAGTTAAAATGGCATGAGTTAAAGTTCGCTTATACAGTTGAATGTTCTCTTTGGGCGCACACAATTTTTCTTAAACTTGGTTTGGTTTTCTACTTTTGTTTAGAGATGGAGTGAGAGAGTCACAGTTCGACCGATTCTTAGACGATGAGTAGAGCCAGATCATTGACGTCTCTCTTCGTCAAGTTAAATTTTCTTTCTTATTCTTTTAAGGTCGAAGTGGAAGCTATTGGCCATGTTCATCATAAGCTATATCTTTCATTGCTTTTCGATTAAGCCCACTGATTCACCTGAAATTCCGAAAATCATAGGCAGTGCTTCAACTTCCTCAGATTCTCCTCCTGTTCAAGTAAATTTACTATTCCTCAATCTTTCTGTTTTTGGATTAGGGAGTTTTTGCTTCCTTATTTGTGCTAAATTGTAATCTCTTGGTAGATCTTTACCTTTATTTTTACTTCCTCTCTTGATTTTTTTCCTGATTGTGTTTTTTTATGAAATGTTCATGGTAAATAAGTTTCACTCCTGAAAGCTTATTAGTATTCGCTTTGCGGCAATATATTTTGTATCTAAAATTTGTTCTTTATGCTTAAAAACTCAAGGATGTACTTGATTTAATGCATTTTCTCTGTTTGCCATCTGGGTTTTATGTGATTGTTTATTTTTGGCTATGGAGTTGTGTAGTTTAAGTTTGGAGTATCAAAAAGGCGATGTTTTAATCTTTCTTAATAGTTACCATTTGCATTTGTGGACAGGCACAGTTGAGGGAGGTGACATTGCAGGAAGAGAATGCTGTATATGAAAGCACAATATCGTGTGAAAATAAAATACAGGAGAAAATTCAAGAAGAAGATTTGCTGAAGAGGAAGTTAATGGTGAGACTTGAGTATATCGTATTTTTGTTAATGGAGAACAACACTTTCTGAAAATTTATGATTTTTGTTATCAGGAGATGGAATGGAAGAGAATGAAAGGAATTTGAGATAATACTTTAGTCTAAAGAAGGATCTCAAATTGCACTGTTCAAATGAATAGTGTTTGGGTCCGAATTTCATTTTATTAACAGCCATACCATTGCTTTAATGAATGGGCTTTGTGGGTTTGGGCTCCGGGTGGGGTTTGTTTTGGTTGGCTAGAATTGCTTTCAAGGGTGACCTGCAGATTGGAGAGAGAGAGGAGGGCTGCGAATTTTGACTCGGGAAGAGATGGATGTGCTTTGGTCAGAGCGTCATTGGGGGGAGGAGGACAGAGGGACTGACAGATTGGAGAGAGATGGGAGCTAGGGGTTTCAACTCAGTGAGGGAGACATTTAGCTGGGTCCTCTGCCAGGACCTATGGGATTTCCTCCGATTTTGTCGGGTTAGCCAGTCAGGAAGGGGTTACTGAGGGAGGTATGGGAGAGTTTGTTTTTTCGGTTTCCTCCCTTGATTCAAAAGGTAATGCACTGTTTTTAATCCATTGTTTAGTACCAATTCAGCTTTATTTTTCAGTTTATTGTTTTTAATTCATTGTTTACTGTTTGGTTTGTCATCTGCTTCAAATTGCCATAGATATTTTTGTCCCTTCATTAAAGTTGTCTTAGATTTTTTTAGATTGTTTAATTCATCAGCATCAGCATAGCCGACCCCACTTAGTGGGAAAAGGCTTTGTTGTTGTTGTTGTTGTTGTTGTTGTTGTTTAATTCATCAGCAGTTTATTGTTTTGCCTGGTGGAAAAGTCCAGTCTTGGTGTGTCCTCTTACTCAAATTTAAGAATGGTTTCTTGACTGCTTAGTTTGTTGAACAACATCCTTTCCTACTTTCTAAAGCTCATTTTCTTTATTTTAACTCAGACCGACTCACTCCACACTCTCTCTGTCTCTGTGATTCTGGATTCCGTTCTGCCATTGTTGCTTCTGAAGAAACCTAATTGCAGGTTCCTTTTTCATTTCCAAGCTTCTGTTATGCTTTGTGCTGCTGTATTTTCTGTGGTTAATGAGGCTCGATTGAAATATGCATCAACTTGATTGATTATGCTGCTGTATTATCTCTCTCTCTCTGCATTTTCTCATTTTCTCTTTTTAATGAGGCTTTATTCTGCTATACTATGAAATATTCATTTTTAATGATAGTTTTATAATAGGGTATGTTTTAATTCGGAGTTTTAATTTGATCAGTGTGATTTTTTGTGATTAGGATTTAGGACCTTGGTAACATGGTTGATTAGGAATTTGTGTGTTTTCCTCCTGATCTGTATTCAAATTAATTCATGTAAGTCCCTTTCTTAAGAGGGATCTATTTTGATAAGAAACAAGACCTTGTTGCATTCTTTGTTTTCTTGAATTTCTTTGGTTTTTGATGGGTGATTGAGTGGTGTTTGATTGGGAAATTTGCTGATTAGGGTTAGGTTGTGGTCTATTTGGTTGCCTGGAAAATTTGGGAAAGAAAATGGGGTCATGGGATCAGGATTTAGGACCTTCGTAACTTGATTGGTTAGGAATTTGTGTGTTTATCTCCTAATTAGTATTCAAATTTAGTGCATATAAGTCCCTCTCTTAAGAGGGATCTATTTTGATAAGAAACAAGACCTTACAACTGTTGCATTCTTCGTATTCTTGATTGTAAAGTCTCTCTACCATGTCACATATATTAATAGGATGCTTAGGTAATTGTTGGAGAAGTTATGCATGCATTCTTTTGGCAATCCTTTCCCAGAACGTGTAGTGATCCTGATATGAGTCTAACTCTGCCTTGGTCATAGCTCAACATGGAAACGTTATTGAATATCTTCTTTATAAGCATTTCTAGGCTTTAGCCTCCTCTTTTTGAGCAGACTTATCTAATATATAAGAAAGCATGTTCTACTAGAGCTCAAATCAAACAAAGAGAGAGAAAATAAAAGTACACCATAAATAAATAAAAACTTAATTTATTAAGATGTATGGAGGAAAGGTTTTAGTCACTTAAAATTGGGTTAAATTAACGATGTTATATAGTGATACTAATTTGATGCTTGCTTGCCCTGCAATCAACTCAGTGTTTAAGGATTATGCATGTTTCCCACTTCCCAGGTCTAATCTGATTGCATGCATGTAACAATAATTAAATTTGGGGATTGGACAATTAACTAATCATAATTTATTTATTGTGTGTAATAACCTCCATAAGTGTGGTTACAAGTTGAGCCTTTTCTTTGTTTTTTTTTTTTTTTTTCATTGAAGCTTTCCAGCGCTTCTTTATATTCTTTTTCCTGTTTGTTGACAAATAAGATCATGTTTATTTTTCTTCTAATTTTCGAGTATGCATACATAAAATGTCAGTGGAGTCGATGCATGCTTGAATGACAAACCTCACACGGAGTCACTCACATAGTTTGAAAATCTAATAAACTCTAATCTGATTTTCTGTTTGAGTGATGAATGAGGAGTGTGTGCAAATTCTAAGTTATGGGGAAGCACAAATTCTTTTCTACCATTATTTCAAATGTTCTCTAACTTATAGGCATCAATAATCTGTTTAACTACATGATTCCCCATGTACCTAATTTTCCACTGCTGTTATTTATAATTGGCGTAGAGATTTTCAAAATTAGATTTAGACCTACTATAATTAACAACTCATGCAAAAATTATTTAATTAAGCACCAATTTTTATGTCCTATATGTCTTAGTAGGACAACCAATGTGGTTTGCCCATCACATATAGAGAAGTAGAAAGGAGAATGCCAACGGGTAGGTTGGAGACCAGAGTCATTTTCTGTATAAGTTTTCCGTCACCAAATATAGGTTGAGAGCATGATCATTTTCTGTTTGCACATCACAATGTTTGTTTTGAGTACTTCTCATGCCATTGAGCACAAATGTTCTTCCTGCATTAGTTAATTTTCTTTATATCAAAATTGAATCAATTTAATTTTCCTTTGTATCCAAATGTATTAAAGTAATTGTGATTGAAGTTTGTTCATGTCTGCTTTCCAAGATTTATTTTTTGGTTACTAGATATCTTACTCTGTTTACGAGTGCTTTTTAGTTAACTGAAAGAACGCTTTTCATTCTTTGGTTTTCAGGACTTCTTTACTGTTTACAAGTCAACCCCACCATACCAAAGTACAAGACAAGCGAAGATTTGATGTAATTTTTGCTCTTAACTTTGGATTTTATATTTTGGGTTAATTATCAACCGGTTTCTGTTACTAGATTTAGAATTGTAATTTGGTACCACTGCTGCCACCTTAGTATTCACATCCTAATGGCACAAAATGGTAATTTTAAATTCTAGGTTATGGGTAAGCATTAGTATTTGGAGGCACAAATTCTTTTCAGCCACTGAACCAAGTGTCATCATAATACCAAAAGAAAAAAAAAAAAACTTGGTTCTCTTTATCGCATTGTTTCTTGGGTAGTTTTCTAGAAATGAGGTTGAAAGGTCGCACCACTTCTTTACTCCATATATATGCACATCCTTATAATCTTTAGACTAAATAAAGCAAAGAAACATCATGATATTGCTAATGGATTTGGTATGTTTTGGAATTTCAGGAATTTCAATTGTTGGAGAGAAGTTGGTTCCTTGGCATTTTCAGGTATATAATTATGTACCCTATTTTTATTCAAGCCCTATTTTAAATGTAAGATTGGTTTGTGTGAAATGAATGAAAAAGAGTTAGAATACCCTGTTTTGGATTTTGAAAAAGAGATTTGGAAATGTATGATGTCCTTTTTATATACCCTGTTTTGGATCACTGTCTGTGTTATTTGAAAAGGAGAGACATGGATGATCGGTGTGTGTTATTTGTTCAAGGAGACATACTTATTTGGATTTTCTCGCAAGCCTATTTTATACACCCTGTTTTTATTCAAAGGCTGCTGCCGTTTGAATATGATTCGTTAAAATGTGCTATCATCAACAGTTTGCATGAAAAACATATTTCACTTTGTTTTCTTCACTCAAGGTGCTTTTCAACACTGTTTCTAAGCTATTTTCGTTACTGTTATGTAAGTTAGTGCTAATGGATTTGCTATGTTTGCGATTTTCATAAATTTGGATCGTTGGAGGGAGCACTTGGCCCTTTGGCTTTTGAGTTATATTTATTTACGGTGATTTTGTGACTCTGTTGTTACATTTTATTCATGCACGTTGGGACTAGATTTGGCTATATAACTGTGACATCCTTTGACTATGTATAGCTATGATAACGGTGGAATGTGTAATTGCCATCTCTTAAGTGGGTATAATGTTAATGGTTTGCAGATGCTTAGCAGACTATCAACAAAATTGCTATCGATGAAATTGGGAAAGAAACTTGGGGAGATAATGTTAATAGTTTGCACATGCTTACGAGACTATCTGAAACTGCTTAAATTTTATATTTTGAGTTGCATAAAGTTAAGGAGGTTACGATATGTTTCCGAATTATTAAACAAACCGAGATAGCTTAACAAGTTAAGTCCGATATCAGGCTCAATTGTAGGTTGGCTTTAATTATTATATCTTTATAAGAAACATTAGCTTATATGTGCACTAAGTAAACTAAGGTCATCTATTATAAGTTTCCCTATGTCTTCTATCTCTTTATGGTGTGTGTTATTTGTGTCTGATTGGTGTTTCCCCTATATTTCCTTATGTTTTCTATCTCTTTATATGTGCACTAATTAATTTGATTAGTGTATGTTTAATTTATTCAGGTTAAATGTGTTTTATTCATGCAGTTAAGACTCGTGCATTCAAGTCCTGTAGCAAAGCGCGGGCATATTTTTGAGCGTAAACTATTTGTAAGATAGAATATATCTCCTACTGTAGTCCTGCTAAACCATGGAAACAACTTACGTACCTAACACGGTATTCCCCGGCCCTACGCCTATCTCAGTTCACACCTACTCCATCAGAAAGACTTCAAAGGAAGCAAGTCAAGCCAACAAAATATCTCCCGTGGAAGATTTATCCCCGACATTAAAGGCAGATCCTTGTCTAATTCATTTCTGCAATGTTTTAATATCACTGGTTACAGTTAAAAGAAAACGACCCAAGACTTCAAAAGTCTGCAAGTCAAAAAGACTCCAAAGGGACAAAAACAATTTAAGGCCACCACACCAATCCTTGAGTTCATCAAACACTTTCCTTACTCGGCTAGCAAAAATGAAAACTTTACAATCTTTTGGCCTCCTATTCTTCTTCACTATCTGTCATATTGTCACAACTGGAGTCTACAGCCAGTGTCTTAAAGACCAGCAACTGTCATTGCTCCATTTGAAGAACAACCTCACATTTGATGATCTTGGTTCTCTGGTTTCCTCCCAGTTTGTATCGTGGGATTCAAGTACAGACTGTTGTTCTTGGATCGGTGTTACTTGCAGTAGCAACGGGAGTGTTGTTGGTCTCGACATTAGCAGCCAACACATCTCGGGTGGCATTGACAGCTCCAGCAGTCTCTTCGATCTTCAGCATCTTCAAAGCCTCAACTTGGCCGATAACTCTTTTGTCGAAGGCTCCCGCATTCCATCTGCAATTGGAAAGCTGACAAACTTGAGGTATCTAAATTTTTCAGATAATCATTATTTCGGGAAAATTCCCTTTGAGATTTCACGCTTGACAAGGTTGGAGATCCTTGATATTTCTCAAAGTTCCTATAATGGGGACCGCAAGCCACTTGAAATCTCGAAGTTCAGCATGCTCTTTCAGAACCTCTCAAACCTGACGGTGTTGAACTTGGACGGAAACAATATCTCTGCTCCGGTTCCAGGATTCTTTGCCAATTTTTCAAAGTTGACTACCTTGAATCTAAGTGATTGTGGGTTACGAGGAACATTTCCGAAGCAGATCTTTCAGGTACCTACTCTACAAACTATTGACCTTTCCTTGAATACGGAACTTCGTGGTTCCTTGCCAGAATTTCCCAAGAATGGATCTCTTCGATCCTTGATTTTAAGCGGGACAAGCTTTTCAGGGTTATTGCCCGACTCAATTGGCAACCTCAACATGTTGTTCACACTAGACCTTTCCGAATGTAATTTCACTGGATCAATCCCGAAGTCAATTGGAAATCTAACGAAATTGGTTGATTTGGACGCGTCATCAAACATGTTTAATGGTCCAATTAGTTCTATTCACTGGGAAAACCTTATTAATCTGGTACATCTCTCTTTGTACGACAATCATCTGGTGGGGAGCATTCGGTCATCTCTATTTTCTCTTCCCTTGTTGCCGTACTTATTACTTTCTGATAATAATTTCTCTGGGCAACTCCCTGAAACTTTTAACGTCTCTTCTAGTTTTCTTACTTCCATTGATTTGAGTTTCAATCATTTGGAAGGACCAGTTCCCATGTCTATCTTCAATATTCGAGGGCTTGAAACCCTCACTCTTTCTTCAAACAATTTCAGTGCCTTTCCTTTTAATTGTCCTCAGCTGCCAAATCTGACGGAGATTGATCTTTCACACAATAGCTTGAGAACATTCCCAGTTTTCTTAAGAAATCAAACCTATTTAACAAAGTTGGATCTTTCGGAAAACCAAATTCAAGGCCAGCTACCCAATTGGATATGGAAGCTCGATTCTCTTGATTACCTAAATGTTTCTCATAATGCCTTGGAAAGTCTCGAAGGTCCTTTCATCAACCCCACATCTTCTATGTCTAGGCTTGACCTTCATTCAAACCAGCTTAAGGGGCCAATTTTAATTGTCCCACCAAATGCCGAATATCTGGATTACTCAAAGAATCATTTCAGTTCTAGTATTCCAGTATCAATATGCTATGCAACAAGTCTTCTCGCTCTTGATTTGTCCAGTAATTCTCTGAGTGGTGAGATTCCCCAGTGCTTGGCTGCAATGAGCAGACTCGTGATACTTAATGTCAGGAAAAACAACATTACTGGAATGATTTCTAATCTTGAATTTCCTGAAAATTGTGAGTCATTACAAGCTCTAGACCTCAGCCAAAATCAGATTGAAGGTCAATTTCCAAAGTCTCTAGCCAGGTGCAGATGGTTAAAATTTTTAAACCTTGCAGAGAATCAGATAACAGACACCTTCCCATGCTTGTTAAAGAACATCTCTGACTTGAGGGTTCTTGCTTTGCGGTCCAACAATTTCTATGGGGGCATTGGATGTCCAGTAGTGAAGACCAATGCCACCTGGTCAGCTCTTCAAATCATAGACTTAGCTTACAACAATTTCAATGGTGAAGTACCAGGATTCCCTCTGACAACATGGCAAGCAATGAAGGGTAACAGAGATATTAGTGATTCTAACTATATAGAGTTATCTTCTCTTGGGCATGGGCATATATCCACTTCTACGAGTGCGGCTCTAAATCCTAATGAACCTGCGTACGGTGATCGCGCAGTGTTTACATTTTCTTATGAGCCTGCTATAACGATTACAAGCAAAGGTTTAAAGTGGGATCTGGCAAAGATTATAAGTGTCTTGACCTTGATTGACTTCTCATGCAACAATTTCAGTGGGTCAATTCCCAAGGAAATGGGAGCTCTGAAATCTTTATATTTTCTCAACTTGTCGAGTAATGCTTTCACAGGTGAAATCCCATCGTCATTTGGTAACATGCGACAACTCGAGTCCTTGGACCTGTCACATAACAAGCTGAGCGGGCAAATCCCACAACAGCTGGCAAATCTTAGTTTCCTTGCATTCCTGAATCTCTCGAATAATCAACTTGTCGGCAAGATCCCAGCTGGTACTCAAATTTCAACATTTCCAAGAGACTCATTTACGGGGAACAAAAGGTTATGGGGGCCTCCGCTGACGGTGGATAATAAAGCAGGACTGTCACCACCACCATTAAATGGAAGCCGTCCAAATTCTACAAATGAGATTGATTGGGATCTTATTAGTGTCGAAATTGGATTTGTATTTGGCTTTGCAGTTGCTGTTGGGTCACTTGTGTTCTTCAAGAGATGGAGTAAATGGTATTACAGGGCTATGTATAAAATCCTTGTGAGGATATTCCCTCAGCTTGAAGAAAGAATTGGTCCTCATCGAAGACATGTTCACATAAATCAGAGGTGGAGACGTTGAAATGTTTATGAGGAGCAAGCAGCTGGACTCCATGTTGTGCCTAGGGTAAGATCCAACAAATAAAGTACGGTTTCACATTTTGATATATAACTTGTGTTGTAATTAGGTTTGGAAGTTATTTTGTATCTTTCTGCATTATGGTTAATAAATTTTCCTTGTATTATCGAGGTTTCTTAAAAAACGAAAAGAACAAGCCTACTAACCATGCCTTATGCGCACATTTCGAATTCCATTTTAACACTTTTCTAGGATGGACACTCAAACACATGAGCAAGGAAAAAGGGTTATCATGTTGTTTGAATTTGTGATGCATTATATCTTTTATCTGTTGGTTTTGCACCCTTTTTTCTACCCTGTCTAGTTTGCTTTCTTTGGATATCGAAATCAGTCGAGATCAAGAGTCAACAAGGAAATGGATACACATACGAAATCAGTATTGAATCAAACAATTTTAATTATTTATAATTCTTTTGTTTGTTCTCCCTTGTTTTGGCTTTGGTTTGTGAGAAAATTAGCTCTTTTCTGTTGTGTGTTTGTACACAGTCTTTGATTTTAAATGTTTGCTCTGTTTTTCATGCACTGGTCAAGTTCTGTTTATATATTATCGCTGAATTTCAGTGGTCAGGTTCTCTCCATGATCACGTCGAATCCTTATGAAAATGAATCCAGAACAAAATCGCGCTAAAGCTAGGGCGTCACCCGTAAGTGGCGCGCTGTGTGGCCCGAGCACAGTGATAAGTGAGCAAGGGTCGCTGTATCTCCATCGGCACCCGGATGCAGTGTTAAATGAGCAAGGGGGCCGTAGAAACTTCTTTTCGAACGACTCCACTCAAAGTTGTTTGGGAGCATATGCTCCTATCAACTTTACACGGGACACACAAAAGAAGTACTTTAATCCTATTAGACGGGGGAGGGTGAAGAAGCTAAGACAGAAGGGTAGAGTTCAAGAGAGCAAATTGCGTTTAGGAACGTGGAATATAGGAACCTTAACGGGAAAATCTATGGAAGTAGTGGAAGTTATGGTGAGGAGAAGGATAAATATTATGTGCCTACAAGAAACTAAGTGGGTTGGTAGTAAGACAAAGGATCTAGAAAACTCAGGGTTTAAACTTTGGTATTCGGGTACAAATAGAACGAGAAACGGTGTTGGCATCATCGTGGACAAGACCTTGACACAAGATGTTGTAGATGTCAAGAGGGTAGGAGATAGAATCATGGCAATCAAGATTGTAATAGGACAAGAACTTATCAATGTGATTAGTGCGTACGCACCTCAAGTAGGGTTGGATACGAGTTCGAAGGAGAAATTTTGGGAAGACCTTGGAGACTTGGTGCAAGGAATTGCTCAGACGGAGAAGTTATTTATAGGAGGAGATCTAAATGGACACGTGGGCAGGGAGACAGGCAACTATGGAGGTTTTCATGGTGGCCATGGTTTTGGGGAGAGAAACAAGGATGGGGAAGCTATCTTGGATTTTGCAATGGCATATGATCTCTTTTTAGCCAACACCTTCTTTAAGAAGAGAGAAGAACATGTGATCACCTACAAGAGTGGGTCGTCAAAAAACACAAATAGATTTTCTTCTAATGAGGAAAGGGGATCGTATAACTTGTAAGGATTGCAAAGTTATACCAGGAGAGAGCGTGGCTAATCAACATCGCTTGTTGGTGATGGATGTACATATCAAAAGAGGGAGACAAAAGAACAAGACTTGGAAGTGCCCAAGGACTAGATGGTGGAATCTAAAAGAAGAAAAACAAGCCATTTTCAAAAAGAGAAGGTAATCACCCAATGTGTGTGGGATAGAGAGGGGGAAGCTAGCCAAATGTGGGATTCCATGGCTAGTTGTATCCGAAAAGTAGCAAAAGAGGTATTAGGAGAGTCCAAGGGCTTTGCCCCACACCAAAAGGAATCTTGGTGGTGGAATGAGGAGGTACAAACAAAGGTGAAGGTTAAGAAGGAATGTTGTAAAGCCTTATACAAGGAGAGGACCGATGAAAATGGTGAAAGGTATAGAAAAGCGAAGCAAGAGGCGAAGAAAGCGGTCAGAGAAGCTAAGTTAGCGGCTTACGACGATATGTATAAACGACTAGATACCAAAGAAGGAGAGTTGGATATCTATAAACTAGCTAGAGCAAGGGAAAAGAAGACAAGGGACCTAAACCAAGTGAGGTGCATCAAGGATGAGGATGGAAAGGTTCTTGCTACAGAGAACGCGGTTAAAGACAGATGGAGAGGTTATTTTCATAATCTTTTCAATGAAGGACATGAAAGGAGTGCTTCTTTAGGGGAGTTGAGTAACTCAGAAGAGTGTAGAAACTACTCTTTTTTTATCGTCGAATCCGGAAGGAAGAAGTGGTTGTAGCTTTGAAGAAGATGAAGCATAGAAAAGCAATAGGCCCAGACGATATACCAATCGAAGTGTGGAAAGTTTTGGGAGAGACAGGTATAACATGGCTCACTGACCTTTTCAATAGGATTTTGAAAACGAAGAAGATGCCCAAATGAGTGGCGAACGAGCACTTTGGTGCCTATCTACAAGAATAAGGGCGACGTACAAAATTGCATGAACTATAGGGGTATTAAGTTAATGAGTCATACAATGAAGCTCTGGGAGAGAGTCATTGAGCATAGATTGAGGCAAGAGACACGGGTTTCGGACAACCAATTCGGGTTCATGCCAGGGCGCTCAACCATGGAGGCAATCTATCTCTTACGAAGATTGATGGAAAGATATAGAGATGGGAAAAAGGATTTACACATGGTCTTTATAGATTTGGAAAAAGCGTATGATAGGGTCCCAAGAGACATTCTTTGGAGGATCTTAGAGAAGAAAGGAGTACGAGTAGCATATATCCAAGCTATAAAGGATATGTATGAAGGAGCAAAGACTGCCGTAAGAACTCATGAAGGACAAACCGAAAGCTTTCCCATAACTGTAGGATTACATCAAGGCTCATCCTTAAGTCCTTACCTTTTTGCGTTGGTAATGGATGAGTTAACAGGACATATTCAAGATGATATTCCTTGGTGTATGCTTTTCGCAGACGATATAGTGTTGATAGATGAAACTCAGGAAGGGGTAAATGCAAAGCTTAACCTTTGGAGAGAAGTGTTGGAATCTAAAGGTCTTCGCCTAAGCCGATCAAAGACAGAATATATGGAGTGCAAGTTCAGTGCAGATGGAGGCCAAAACGAGTTAGGGGTGAGGATCGGAGATCAAGAAATACCAAAGAGCGACCGTTTTCGTTACCTAGGATCTATATTGCAAAAGAACGGAGAATTAGATGGAGATCTCAACCATAGAATACAAGCTGGATGGATGAAGTGGAAGAGTGCATCTGGCGTGTTGTGTGACCGCCGTATGCCACTGAAGCTCAAGAGAAAATTTTATAGGACGGCAATAAGGCCGGCGATGCTGTATGGCACAGAATGTTGGGCGGTGAAGCATCAACACGTACACAAAATGGGTGTAGCGGAGATGAGGATGCTTCGTTGGATGTGTGGGCACACGAGAAAGGATAAGATTAGGAATGAGGATATCCGGGGTAAAGTAGGAGTAGCCGAAATTGAAGGAAAGATGAGAGAAAATCGGTTACGGTGGTTTGGACATGTGCAAAGAAGGCCTACTGACGCTCCGATTAGAAGATGCGACTATGGGACAGAGGTTCAGGGCCGAAGGGGTAGAGGAAGACCTAGGAAAACTTTGGAAGAGACTCTAAGAAAAGACTTAGAGTACTTGGATCTAACGAAGGACATGACACAGGACCGAGCACAATGGCGTTCTAAGATTCATATAGCCGATCCCACTCAGTGACTTGGATTTTCCAAGTCTCCAACCGAGAAGTTTTCCTCACTCGAAAAATTAAGGGAACACTACCCCAACCTACATGCTCCACTCAGAAAGCTTCAACATACAAGCTTCAACAAAAGAAAATTCAAAGAACTTAGCGAAGAAGGCTTTGGTGTATTTAACACAATACGTTGAAATGAAGGAAAACTTATTTATTGATATCCCCGATAAGCTACAAATATGTACATATACATGAGTCAAAATAAACAAACAAGATGGAGCCTTCACAAAGGTTGCTTAGGAGAAGTCTCAGCAGTCGGTAGAGCCCCAGAAAGAGAAGGCATCGGAGGGGGATCATTCGGAGCCTCAGTACTGGACAGAACCCTAGAAGGAGGAGGCATCAGAGGTTGATCATTTGGAGCTTCATTACGCGGTACAGCCCCAGAAGACGAAGGCAATAAATGCCTTTGGAACAAACCCACAAATCTCTGATGATCAAGTAAAACCTGACCATCAGTTTCCTTCATCTGGTCAAGCTTCCTCTTCATGTTTGTAGCATAGTCATGTGCGAGCCGGTGCAACTGTTTATTCTCATGCTTGAGCCCTCTAATCTCCTGTTTGAGACTCATCACTTCGGCCGCCAATGATTCAACTTGGCGGGTTCGAGCAAATAGGCGTTGGGCCATATTAGACACAGAACCTGCACACTGAACACTGAGAGCCAGTGAATCCTTAACAGCTAACTCATCAGACCGTTTGGAAAGTAGTCTGTTATCTTTGGGAGTGAGAAGGTTCCTGGCCACCACCGCAGCGGTCATATCATTCTTCATCACGGAATCCCCAACGGTAAGAGGACCAGTAGGGGAGACGAAGGATGGGCGCCATATGTTGTCTGGAGAAGGCGGGGCTGCCTCTTCAACAAGGTTCAAGTCAAAACGACGGTCGGAGGGGCCAGACATTTTCAAAGGTATTGAAGAGAGAAGAGGTCGGACAAATCAAGATCTTAGAAGTGCAAGAATGGAGCTTCTACTGGTGGAGATTCAAGTGTGCTTTGGAACTTAATGCCAGCCCCTATAAAAAGCTGCACTCGACGGAGCTTCAGACATCGAAGAGGCGCCTGCTCAGAAATTGAAGAGGTGCCTGCTCAGAAATCGAAGAGGCGTTTGCTTTCTCAAAAAGCTGGGCTGCTCTGGGCTCCTCAGAGACCACGAGGGCCGATCTCAGAAATCGAAGAGGCACCTACTTTTCCAGCCTTGTCAGCACCTGTCACACACGCACACTCAGCTTTGCGGAAATTATGGGTATTCTGTCGAAGACTTCTGGGGAAGTAGAAAAACACATGAATCTTACTGTCCAATCACCCACTTCCCACACGCAGCAATAGCTCATGGGTACCACAGAGAACTTTGCCAAAGTTCTCTGCCAAAGTTGAGCACGTGAAGCTTGCAGCTCCCACTACATCGCTCTGACCAAAAAGGGTAAAAGAATAGCAAAGAAAACAGCACTAACAAAGTTTAGACCCATAAATTTTGAAGGTCTAGCTACCATATTATTACCCACAAGGGTAAAGGAACAGTACCACTGTTGGATAATTGGAAAGTCCCTGTGTGTCAACCTCTGTGCCTCGTGGCAAGGTAGACTAGCAAACATGCCCAACCTTTACTCACATTCGAGAAAACACTCCCAATAAGATTGCTTGCTCCAAAATCGAAGAGGCACCGTCCTCCGAATCTCGAGAGCCAGACTCCCAACATGACTACTTTCTCAAAAATCGAAGAGAG